TTATTCTAGAGACAGAGTCTCACCCAGGCTGGAGCGCAGTGATGCAGTCAGAATTCACTGCAGCCTCAGACTGCTGGACTCAAGTGATCCTCCTGCCACAACCTCTGGAGTAGCGGGGACAATAGGCATGCACCACCATACCTGACTAATTTTTATATTATTATTTTATTTTAATATTTTGTAGAGATGGGTTCTTACTATGTTATCCAGGCTGGTCTTGAACTCCCGGCCTCAAGTAATCTTCATCCTCCTCATCTGCCCAAAGTGCTGGCACAGGTGTCAGCCACTGTGCCCAGCTTAAATCTCATTATTTAAAGTTCACAGAACCAGCCCATGCCTTGAGCTTGGACTTCTGGCCTCCCAAACCCCGAGGGAATGAATTCCTGTTACTTAAGTACCCAGTTGAGGAGCTTTTTTACTTCAGCTCTGGCAACAGGGGTGACCCGGTGGCTATGGCCAGGGAAACTGAAGGTGACTGTGAGGACATTTGGGGCCCACCTGGATAATCCAGGAACTTCTCCCCTTCTCAAGACCTTTAATCACACTTGCCAAATGCTCTTTTCCAACAAAGGTCCCATTCACAGACTGGGGATTGGGATGTGATACCATTAGTCAGCTTGCCACAGTTCTGTTAAAAAAAAAATTTCTTTAAAAAATCTCCACCCTCAGCCGGGCTCGGTGGCCCAGCCTGTAATACCGCACCTTTGGGAGGCTGAGGTGAATGGATTGCCCGAGCCCGAGGGTTCGAGACCCGCCTGGGCAACTTGGCGAGACCTCATCTCTACAATAAATCAAAAATTAGCCGAGCATGGTAGCACACACCTGTAGTTCCAGCTACTCGGAAGGCTGAGGCGGAAGGATCGCTGGAGCCCAGCAGGTCGAGGCTGCGGTGGCCGGGAGCGGCCACTGTACTCCGGTCTGGGCAACAGAGTGAGACTCCAACTCCAAAAAAAAAAAACTCCACCCTCAGCCAAATTGTCAAATGAAATTAACCCCGAGGAATACGCGGTACATTGACTCCGCACTGCCCTGACCCCCCCAGCTCCCAGCTTGGACAACCTTGACTTGGTGTGAAGCCGGCTCTCTCACAGGCTCCTTCCCACCACTGCCTCGCAGGAGAGGCCCGGGGACAGCCTCCATCTCAGTGGCCATCCATGGCCAGGGACCTGGTGGTTTCCCACCTTCAGCTCCTATCTGGGTGCTGCTGAGGAAGAAAGCCATAAGGTAGTGAGTGACAGGCTCTTCCTGGGAGGTCCCTCGTTCCTGTGGTGCTGAGGAGGAGGGGGGAGGAAGAGTGGAAGGAGCAAAAAAGGGAGGAGATGCCCAGCGTGGTGGCTCACACCTGTCATCCCAGCACTTTGGGAGACCAGAAGCTTAAGACCAGTCTGCGAAACAATGAGACCTCTGCTACAAAAAATACAAAGATTAGTCAGGCGTGGTGGCACACTCCTGCAGTCCCAGCTCCTTTGGAGGCTGAGGCCGAAGGTTCACCTGAGCCCAGGAGGTCGAGGCTGCAGTGAGCCATGACCATGCCACTGCATTCCAGCCTAGGCTACGGTGAGACCCTGACTCAAACAAAGAAAGGAGAGGGAAGGAGATAGGCAGGAGAAGGAAGAAGAGGGAAGGGGCGGGAGGAGTGGCAGGGGACAAGGGAGATGGACGACAAGGGACAGGGCAACTGCTAAAGCCCAGCCCACACTCTCGCTACCCCAGGCGCCAGCCTAGCCAGAATGCCAGTGAAGGCACTTGGATTGGGTCTCCCGCTGGGCCAGTTACAGGGTCTGGGGTCTCTGGGGAGCCACTCTATTGTGTGTCAAATAAGGACTGGATTGCTGGGCCTGTGCAGGCATGGGGTCGGGCACAGGTTCCTGGAATGGCCATGTGTCCTCAGGTGCCCAGGAGGGGGCCAGGCTGGGGAAACAGGTGACGCTGAGCCCCCTGGTGACAACACCGTCACTGTCATGGGGTCTCCTCTGTAGTCCCCAAGAATCAGGCCATGAAACTGTCCTGTTAAAAATTGCTAAATATCAGCATTGACTCTGAAAAGTAGACTGCCGGCCCACCCAGAAGTTTTCTGATTACAGTATTAGAACCTTGGTCACAGCCAGGCTCGGTGGCTCAGCCTGTAATCCCAGCGCTTTGGGAGGCCGAGGTGAGTGGATTGCCTGAGCCCGCGGGTTTGAGAACTGCCTAGGCAACTTGGCAAGACCTCATCTCTACAATAAATCAAAAAACTAGCCGGGCGTGGTAGCACGCGCCTGTAGTTCCAGCTACTTGGATGGCTGAGGCGGAAGCATCGCCGGAGCCCAGCAGGTTGAGGTTGCGGTGGCCAGGAGCGTGCCACTGCAACAGAGCGAGACGCCAACTCAAAAAAACCCAAAAAACCTTGGTCACAAGGGGTTCTGTTTCCAGGCACCATCCATCTCATCCCTCTGGTCATTGGTTTCCAAAAGCCTAATATTAATCATTGAGCTCTTCAAAAATGTCACAGCTATTTCCACTCCCTTCTCCATAAACCAGGTTTTCCCAGCTTCACGTCAAAAGATTACTTTGGGCCCTGGTGTGGCAGCTCAGACCTGTAATCTTGGTGCTGTGGGAAAATTGCTTGAGGCCAGGGGTTTGAGACCAGCCTGAGCAGCATAGCGAGACTGCATCTCTACAAAAAAAAAAAATGAAAAATAACAAGGCATGGTAGTGCACGCCTGTATTCCCAGCTACTTGGGAGGTGGAGGTGGGAGGATCTCTTCAAGTTAAGAAGCTGCAGTGAGCCGTGATCATGCTAGTGTATTCCTGCCTGGGCAATGGTGAGACCCTGTCTCAAAAAAAGATTACTATTTTTAAAAGTTATACACAAATAAAGGTCAGATCATTCTAGATGGCTTTATAGTGAAAACCAGCAGCCTCTTGCCCCCACCCACCTCAGATTCTCCCTCCCCGAAGGCTACCATTTAAAATTCTTCCAGCTTTATCTTACGGATTTTCTTTTTTCAAAGGTATGGATGTTAATTCTCTCGCTCACATGCACCTTCCCACTAGTAGGAAATACACTTCCAGCCCTGAACCTTTGAACACTGTGTTCTATTCCCACTAATTCGTGTCCACAGGACTATGAGGAAGCAGCCATTATCCCTAGCTCAGCACTCTCAGCTGTCATGACGTGCCTTAGAGTTCCAGAGCATCTCTTTTCTGTCAGTTCTTTTCTAGGTTCTGGCACAGGCCCTAGCTCCCTGCCAGGCCTGCGGGTCTCTCATTGCTTGCAGGCCCTGGTGATCTCAGTGTCCTTCCCTTGCCCGTTTCTGTCCTTTTGTTGCAGTCCATGGCTGCAGGGCTACAGTCCTCCTGGGAACTCCCTCCAGCCTCACCTGTGCCTTACCCCACTTCCTTATCTTTTTACTCCTTTACTGGGTGGATCACATTGTTGGGAAGAAGGCAGGGGACAAGATGGGAATGTCTGCCTCCTGCCTTCACTGTAGTAAGTATGCTGGCATCAAGGCTTTTAGCCGCCCACTCCTTTCAGATCTGGTCAGGCTTTGCCTCTGGCCTTGTTGGCTCCACAATGCCAGAGGCTGAGAAGTCAAACACCTTTCTCCTCCCAAGCCTCCTATGTGAGCTGTCTCCCCAGCCCCTTTGGCAAGTGCTGAGGGTTTTTGTGTCCCAAGTGACCTCACATTTCACAATGCTGTTCACTGTGTGGCTGGCTCTTTCTCCTTCGAGTGCTGGGGGGGAGGGGGTGCCTCTCGGTCTACAAAGTCATCTTTCAGTTCTGGGAAGACAGTTTTGTAAATTATTTCATTGGTGATATCATTCCCTGTTTTTTTCTTTTTTGGACCTCTTACTGGTCATGTGTTGGAATCCAAAAAGTTCAAAGAATTCCAAGCATGAGAAACATGATGTGTCACATGTCATCAGGACATGCTATAATTTCCAAAACTATTGTAAAAGTACAAAGCTGGAAAACTCACATTCCCAATTTCAAAACTCATCACAAAGCTACAGTAATCAAAACAGTGTGGTACTAGTGTTAACCAGTGATACTAACATCCAGCTAGGCATACAGGCCAGTGGAACAGAACTGAGAGTTCAGATTACATGGGATTACAGGCTGAGCCACTGAGCCCGGCAGCATGGTTGCAATTTAAAAAAATTAAGGCTGGGCTCTGTGGCTCAGCCTGTAATCCCAGCACTTTGGGAGGCCTAGGCGAGTGGATTGCCTGAGCCTGCGGGTTCAAGACCCGCCCAGGCAACTTGGCGAGACC